CCTGCTTATTTTAGATCAGTGATTATTCCCAGGGATGCAGCACATCCCGAAATATATGTACATATTTTAGTTAGGGACTTAACTGTCATGCCCTGACTTTAAAAACGTTTCAAGTAAAAACTGCCTCAACTCACCCCACTCTACCCTATAGTGGGTTGGACCCACAATAGATGGTCTCCATGGTTGTTGTCTGAGCAGCTGCCCTGTGCACGTCAAGGAATACTGGTGGTTTAGACTGGTATTACTACTAGGAAGTCAAGACCTAGTCTTGTATTAAATGGTGTCTGTTGGTAGCTTGGGTGAAGCTACAACTATACTTTTAGATACCTGAATTTGGGGTTTTAGCAACCTGGGGGAAATTTTTACAATTTTATTTGAAATAACACAAGGTGGTTATGTTAGAGACTGATTCCAGTATGTTTAGACCTGATATCCTAGACAGTTTTAGTCAAAAAGATGAAGGCCCCTATTTTCGTGGCAGTGGAACNGGTTTAGACTGGTATTACTACTAGGAAGTCAAGACCTAGTCTTGTATTAAATGGTGTCTGTTGGTAGCTTGGGTGAAGCTACAACTATACTTTTAGATACCTGAATTTGGGGTTTTAGCAACCTGGGGGAAATTTTTACAATTTTATTTGAAATAACACAAGGTGGTTATGTTAGAGACTGATTCCAGTATGTTTAGACCTGATATCCTAGACAGTTTTAGTCAAAAAGATGAAGGCCCCTATTTTCGTGGCAGTGGAACAACCAGTTTGATATTTTCCTGACCTTGAAATTTGCTTTGTCTGACTCTGTGGTATTTTGGTGCCAAGCACAGAGCACATAGTGTACAGGTGAGAAGTGCAAACAGGAGGGAAGTTCATTCAAATGAGGCAGCGCAAAGCGAGGTTTTGCTATTTTGGTGGGAAATGTGTCTTAGATTCAGAACAGACAGAACTACGCCTGTTTCTGGCAACAATAATCTGCTGCCACTTTGGTGATTTTATCAACTCAAGCACACTGAACTCACAGAACAAATGCACAAATGAAGGGATAACGTTTAAAATGTAAATGAACCATTGTAACTAAACTCTCCAGATCCAATAAGACTTTAAACTGGCAAAGAAATTGAATGTTTATTGTCTTTAAAGCAGGAACGCCAGTAAATCAGTTTCAATTTATCTATAAATGGGTATGAAGCATTCTCACAGTTCCTTTTTTTTCATTAATCATTTCTATCATCATTGTATTGTTGTCAGGTCGTGCTGCTCTGCACCATCCAGACAGCAAAATAATTAACTGGAGAACCCTCCTTCATTTGTTGAGCTGTTGTTGTCACAGTGACTGGCACAGCTGTTACAGAGCGAAGAGACCAGTGATGTGACTGCTTAAGAATGAATCATAACATCATCTGATTTAAATTCCACCTCAGACAAACCTTTTACACTTTGTGTTGCCGTGCCTACGTGAACCAAAACATCAGATGCGCTTGGAGACGACCCCACAAGAACCTCACACTCTGCACTTGTTGCACGTGCATAGTTAAAACAAGGGCCTTAGACTCAGGCATTCAATAACAACTTTCAATACCTGTTGCGTCAATACTCAATACTACATACACACTTTTGTTGGTACCAAGAAAGAACCAGGGGTCGTATCAAAGACATTTCCTAATTTGCAGGTCCTAACTGTTTAGAAAACCATGGTGATTAGTGTTACCTGATATAGGAAAAAAGCCATTACAGATGAATAGTTCCTAAGTCCATGTTCCTATCATAACTGAACTGTCCTTCCTAACTTCCAAGAATCTTAAATTAACTGTTCATTGTTCATTGAGAGACTCATGGTAGACGTAACGACGTGGTTTGATGATGAAATGCACATTAGTAGAAACAGGCTGCTCTGGGCCATAATCCTGCAGTTAGCCGAGCAGCTGTGGAAAGGCTGACCCATGCAGCGCCATCAGGCTCTACCCGCTATGGTGCAACTGATAAGTGCACCTCGTATTTTATTTTACTTTTTTTGCTAAAGGAGATTTCCGGAGTGAAATAGCCATTTTTTGTACATTTCAATGAGAAATCTAAGTGTTTTTTGTAAGGGTTATAAAAATACTTCAGTATTGAGTACAGAGTACAGATGAGATGAGGGTAGTAACGTCAGTTGCTAGGTAACAGACATAAATTGAACCTGAGATCGGATGACGTAAAACCAGATTGAGAAAAATCCAGTTTATTATACTCTTCCTATCTATCCTAAGAGATATGAAGTTTCTGTAATACGGCCCCACCACTATTAAGCAGCATTATCATATCTTTATCATGCATATAGTAGAGAGACAACCAGTCAAATACATAATTAAGAACAATACCTGAGAGCTGCTAAGAACTCTACTAATTTTAGTAAAAAATAACAATAAAACATAGATCAAATAAATCATAAAGTTACAGTAAATGTTTGTTCAGGGGAGGTAGATTGTCTGGACTGGACCCCATGACCTCAGTATTTCTAAAACCCTGGCTACAGCCCTGCATCAGACTAACCACAGTGTTAAAATTAAGACTAAACTCATGACCTGAGTGGTTATGGCTGAAAACGATCATCTGTCTGTGACTGTGACTTTAGTAAACCACAGAAGAGTTTCCTTTGTGTTTTTTTTTTCACTGCATTTCAACATGGGAAACTTGTGTCCACTCAGGAATGTTTATGAGCGACTATGAGGAGAGTTTTCTTTCCACACAGTCAGGTATTGTCCTGAGTCGCTCTGAATAGCTGTAAATGTTCCCCACAAAAACGCTCCATGAGTCACTGCCTGTGACCTAGATTTAAGGTGAACAAATGTGGACGAAATTATGAATAACCTGGACTTCCACAACAAGACAGTACAGATGCAATAAATCAAATGTATATGTTAGTGAAAACTTTATTTGATGGCAAAAGGCTGATGAATTGCTGAGTATTGCTTTGTTGGCAACTTACATGTAAACATTTGGTTTGGACGACGTGATTAAAGAGTGTATGATTACTAAAAGCACAAACAGATATAAACCAAAGCAGCAACAGTGGTGAAGCTATGAAAGAAAAAAACACTCACATTTGCGTTCTTCATTCCAACAGAGTACATCATTTAAACTGAATCAACACACACATGGTTCACATTTGGTTATATGAGGACAACTTATGGCATCCATGAATCATCCACAACCAGTAACAATGCTGCAACACAGGCATTGACATTGACACTAGAAGTTTAATATCATACTTAAAGGGGCTATTTGTAGGTGTTCTCTACTGCTATATGTGATTTCTTGCCGGAAGTGGGTGGTGGTGATTGTTGCTTGACAAGAACTTCAGCCATCGTTGTCAGACTGGAGGATATACAGTGAGTCTCTATCAGAAAGTGACGAGGGTGGGCTGTGGCTAGCTGGTTAGCATGCTAACTAGAGTAGAAGAAAAGATGTGATAGAGACTAATAGAGTTAATTGGCCTTGCTTTCCACCTATGGAGACACCTGTTGGTGAGTAAAGGACTGAAGTTAGATGGTGAACTCACAATGTGCACTAATAAATATTTGTATAGTAAAATGCATCACATGACTATGTGTAAAGGAAAGGAGTCACTCCTAATGACAAATCCACAGAGCGTTATCAGCTGTTTTGGTTTTTTTCAGCAGCTTTACTGTTTTTGGTCACTCTCACTGTCCTCATTAGCATAATCTCTATTAGAGGCACTATTAGAGACCAAAAGAGAGTGAATATTGACCAAAAACATGACTCCAAATGATTGCTAATGTTGCACCGTGTTTGCTGTATATGTAAATATGCTAACATGTTTAAAATAAGGTTATTATAACTTTATTACGTGTTAATATGTCAATGTTGCCTGCAGCTTGTTGTGCTGTCCCCAAGTGGCCAAAGCATTTCTTAAACCTGCTCTCATGTATGTAATACAGATAAGCTATAAGGGTTGACTAACTAACAAAAGGATACTATACAAAGATAAAATTAACCAGAAGAGTAACAAACTGGTAAAAGAGAATGATTCCAATATGGCCACCAGAGAGCTTGCTGAGGAAGTCCACTATATCCTGCTCCATGTGCACTGAGGTCATAATGTGTTTTAATGCCTCCAACTCAAGTAAAGTATTGTATCTTGTTCACTTTGTTCGGGAGTCAGTGGACATCAACAAAATCAGCTATAAGTTGCTACAACATGACACAGCAGATGTAAAACACAAACAAAAATATCAAGTGTTTCATATTACTGTATGTAGCCTAACATCCCAACAGCCAACTGCAGAGCAGGGAATGTGCCCAAGTCAGGGTCTGCACTTGGTTTAGAGGCTGTGTCCCATTTCATGAATCAAGAGAGATGAAACAACAAAAGGCTAAAAGGTTAACCTCCACCTCGTCTCCAGATGAGATCTTTCACACTGGATTCATTACAGAATAATAATGCTTCAAACCTCACATAGACCAGAGCTATTGCTGCGATCACCTCCTCCTCAACTCATGGGCTCTATCGTACACCCGGTTCAAAGCAATGCAAAGCCTTCTGTCTTTATTAGTTTCAGACTGCGCAGTTGTCATTTTCCTGTCCAGTGCCCACATTGTTTTAATAGCAGATGCACTTGGTCTTAAAATGAGGTGTGGTCAGACCCATTGCTATCTTGAAGCAACGGAAAGTGATTTGAAAGTCAATTATGCTGTAGTTTACTGTTATTTTAAGGGTGTATTATCAAGATAATGATATGAGTCCACATAGGCGGGTGCACAACATACATACACTCTCCCTGTTACATTTGTGCCATGCACTTTAGACGCTGGGCGCAAGTGTAATGCAAAAGTTCCAAACTGAGAAGTTGCCCTCCAAAGGGTTTCAGTGTGCTTCAAACAAAATAGTTTGAATATAGTGTCACAGTCACAGTCCTATTGATTGCTGTCAAATGCCAAGAGGACGGATCTTAGCATTATGAACCAGTCAGAGAAAGTAATAGAGAAAGAAGACAGTGAGATGAGGGGAAAGGAGACCGTGATAAGCAATGAATAACAACCCTTATCCATGATGTGTTTTGGTTTGTTGCATTTCTGTCTGCATTTATTTGTAAACATAAATGAACTGAAACCAACCAAGCTCAGAGGATGACTGACGGGATGCTAGGCTCAGTTGCGACCAAGCAGCGAGTGAGTCAACACAGGAGTTCATCTTGGCCAACAGCTTTTGGTTTTCATTCTCAATCACTAGAAAACCTTGGACAGTCCAAAGGGTTTGTGGTAATTAATTTCCCTGGACGTAAGAACAAATCATTTCTCCTGTACTGTCAGTACCAAGACAACAGCATAATCTAAGCAAGGCAATTCAGACATAACAAAGGTGTTGGGGAAAGGGTTTTGGACACTGTTGGATGATCTTTCAAGGCTTTGTGTGAACGCCAGTTGTCAACTCCATATTGTATGATAGTTTTTTAGTATGGGTTGCCACATATGGTCAACATGTTGGACTATTGGTAAAACATGTACTGAGTCAAGAGGGATTTCTATGAATTCCTTTAGTGGTGGGATTGGGCACAAATGGGACACAGCTGTTACTTTATGTTTGACTGTCACAGATTTTTTTCTATTGGGTTTAAAGAGTAAGACCAAGAACAAGTAACCCAATTAGAACCAACATCTTTTAGAGGTGATACAACTTTAGGGCTCAGGTGAGATGGACTTCTTTGGGAAACATCCATCATCCATCCATTTGCGGTACAGCACTTAGATTTCCAGCAAAAGATAGAAAGGAAGTCCTCATCATCATTATCTTTGAATCAAACCATTGTCATACCTAAAACTAATCAGACTTTATTGCAGGTTTTAGAGACTCAAACTGTCTGACTTATAGTACAAATAATAAGATGAAAACACATCACTACTTGTGGTCAAGGACTGTTCATCATAACAGCACTAGTAGTGTAGTCCGCTTTGCAAGACACACTGTATAAAGAGTATGTTGACTCTGGTATTCTGTGGCCTGAGGTGCTCATAGTAGATAGGAGAGTAACAGTGTGTCAACTCAACCTTGACAACCCAAGCAACTAGCTTTAAAAAATTTTGTCATATACCCATACATAGAGACTGAGCAGTTAAGTTGTCACATCTTTAAGTGCACCTTTCAAATTAGAGGAAAATTACAGCCTACGAATAGGTTTTCAATGACTGATAAGAATCATCTCTGCTCTCTGACGGAACTCAAACGGCAAGTGATAAAAACAGAGTTGATGAAAGTGATTGAATTGATGAGTTTTTACTAAATTTTTATTCGATAACGACCTGAGTCAATTAACTCTTGATCTCATTGTTCCCTATTAGGCATTCAAGTTTGCATTGGTGCATTTATTCTTTAACATGCTGGTGACACCCAGTGACTATCATCACTCATCCAACCAGCACATTAGCTCTTACATCATTCTCCCCAGCAGCATTCTCTTGGTCCTTCTGGGGTAAGCCAAGGTGGTCTCAGGCAAGATGAGATACAAAATCCTCCAGGGTGCTCTTGTTCTGCCCCTGTGTCTCCTCCCAGTTGAATGTGTTCAGAGCACCTCTACAGGGAGGATTCCTGGAGACATCATAATCAGAACATGAACCACCTTAACAGACTGCTTTCAACAAAATGAAGCAGCTGCCTCTGGGTCTTTGAGTCCCTAAGGGTGAGCCCACAGATCCTGCAAGGAAACTCATTTTGGATGCTTTCGTCAATGACTTTATTCTTTAAATCGTCACCCAAAGTTCATGACCAAAGATGGGGTTTGAATGTAGGTTGACTGGTACATTAAGAGCTTTGCTTATTCTGGCTCTCTTCACCAGAAAACCCTGTGGAGTGGCAATTTGGGAAGCAAGCTACCTTTTTGATTAGGGAGGACCAGGGATCCCAGTTGAAAGAAGGCTGGCAGGGGAGGTAGCAAGCGCCTGGTGACACCCATAAAGCCCAGTTGGCTCAGCCTGAAGGTATAACATGGGGCCATCACCTTGTGGGTTAGGGTTAGGCTAGACATAAGGGTCAAGTGAGGTATTAAGAACCTGGCCATGAATTGCAGTTTCTTTTGTTCAAATCAAGATGGAGACCTTTGGTGACATCTCTCTCTGAGGTGAATTACCAAATGGGTGGCAGATGATGGCAGGGGCCTCGGGATCATGACCCCAGGTTACAAAAAAATACTTTAAAGGAGGACCAAAGTGGATTCTGTCCTGGTCATGGAACACACATTTATCCTTGCATGGATACTGGAGGGATAATGGAACGTTGTGGATTGTACAATGACTATGTCAATCAGTCTGAAAACACTTTGTTGGAAATAAAAAATGCTTAAGAGAAAATTAAATGATTTAATTATCTGTATACTTTCACCACCTTTATTTTTTATATAAGTTTATTAAATTTTCATTCATCAGTTTAACAGAACATTCATCAACTTTGCTTTTATCTTATAATTTTTGTGATGTGCACCATAAGACGCCCAACAACCACTGTTGCTTCATTATTTCTGGGCTGTGTGTAAATGTGAAACCAGCACATAGTTAACATACATAAAATGGGTTTGGGTTGAAATGATTCCAGCGTTGACCTGATGTGAACAGGAGGGAGGTACGGTTGTAAATCCTTGATGCCAAAATTGAATTGTACCATGTCGTCCTTACTGATACTGTCCTCCTTTGATTTCGGTACAGTCAAGTTAGCCAAGTGTCAGAAGATGTGCGCGTTTGTCATAAATACTTCAATTCACTGGTGCAGAGCTTCAACCATCCAACATCCTTCTTCACAAACACAGGGCCTCAGATGTTGGTCTAACTCTGCAGGAGTATCTACTGCATGATAACATCAGGTTCGATGTTAAAGAGCAGGTCGTCATTGTCCCGCCTGACTTCCAGCAGCAGGGCTGTCTCCTCCTGCAGCGCCCCCTGCAGGTCAGCTGTTGTCATTAGAGGTTTGCCATTCAGTTTCACAATAATGTCACCATCTTTGATGCCACCTCTGGAGACAGGGAAAGGAATGAAGAGATATCGTCATGGGTCATTTATTCATGATACTCCAGAATCTGCCTTTGTCTGAGGAATGAAAGAATAAATGAAACCTACTTCTGTGCAGGTGAGTGAGGAACCACCTCATGGACATAAATCCCACTGGTAACATCAGGGAAATCTGGGTTCTGCTGTTTTAGCTCTTCAGTCAACCTGGAACACATAAACACACGTTATCTCCCTAAGAAAGTCCATTATATTACCAGATTTTACAGAGAGAGTAGAGTATGGGCCAGGCCACATATTTCTTTTTTGCCTGTTTACCTTGATTACGCATGTGAATGACCATCAAAAGGCCAACATAACCGAACCTGACCAAACCCAAAAATTTTTTGTCTGAACCCAAGCCAAACTGTTGCATCCCCCGGTGAATCCTGTCGCATTCCGTCAGACTCGGGTCGGGTATCCACCCTCTAACACATGGCAATGGAAGAGTGGCAGAAACTACCAGCAGACAGGTACAAAAATCTTCTACATTAATATAAGAAACATTTAGAGGCTGTCATTGTTACCAACAGTTCTCCAATCCAATATTAGTGAGGACTGCTAATAACTGTGTCTGGGAAACATATTGCGTTTATATTTTGATTCTGATTCCACAAAATCAGAATCTGACTGAAATGAAATTCAATAAAATTTCTAACTTCATCCCTGGAGCAACCTAAATGACACCTGAAAACAACCCAAGAACTGTCCTGTCTAAAACCATAGAAATAAAGACCAGTCCATTTGCATCAGACAGATATGAACCACTATTATTCATATAAAACAACAACATGATATTTGACAGACTTTGGTAACAGAAGACATGATCTGAATTTGTTTACAATGTTAATGAAAAGGGATATCAGACTATTTAGCATAGCTCTATGTGAACAGAGCTGGACCTAAAAAAGAACCCTGTGGAACACATTGAGGGAGGGTCATCCCAAACAATCATCAACAAATATGTTGAATCTGGTTTAGCATTTCCTGCAACACAGCATGATCTGCAGTGGCCGGTCACATATATGTAACCACACATTGCTGGTAGCTACTGAAAGTTGTATTTCTGCCATTTTTACATCGAAAACAGCAACAAAATCCTGTCTCTGAGTTCACAAACCACTGTGCTGTGTTTGGTGTCTAATGAGCTTTTAAAGACATAAATCCATTGCTCCAACTGGTCTGATCGTTTCACCAGGACATGACAACAACCGTCAGCTGGACATTTAGACATTTATGCTTAGAAAAAGGGTTAGGGTTAGTAGGTCTGGACAATATTGAAAATGAATTAGTTTTAAATTAATGACATAAGCTGTTATTACTCTCCTCTTATCTCTGCTCTAAATTTGCCATATAAACAATATCATCAGTTCAGACTTACGCTGGTGTGATCGTCAACATCCTTATTCCGATGAAACGCTTCTTTATTGACCTCACGTCTGAAAGAGACTCCAGTTAGTTATTGTATAGTGTTTAGTGTTTGATCCCACCCCAGTGACATTAATGTCACATTCACCTTTGTTGTGCTTGTCCAGGGAATCGTTAAGGAAGCGAGTGATCCTGTCAGAGGGGATGGCAAATGAGATTCCTGCTGCAACCTTCAGGGTGTTGATGCCGATCACCTCCCCATCCTTGAATACAGACACACAAAGTCAATTGCAAGTTTCTCAGGTCACTGTCATCAAGAATAGGAGTTCCTGTTGCTGTCAGTGCAAAGCCAGTGTTTGTGCAATCCGTTGTGTAGTTTATATTGTAGATTTAAAGAGAAACTCACCAAATTAACCAGAGGTCCTCCTGAATTCCCGTACTGTGACGGAAAATACAAAATAAACCTTACAATTTGACATTTTTGCAATGTTTAACAATAACTTGACTCAGATGTTTTCTGCTTTGCTTCAGTCTCACATTGATGATAGCGTCCGTCTGGATGTAGTCCATGTCAGAGTCCCTGAGGCCCAGTTCCTTGCCGTCTCTCTGGGCGGTGCTGACGATGCCAGTGGTGACGGTGTTCTGGAGGGCGAAGGGGCTGCCGATTGCAACCACAAACTCCCCGGGCCTCAGGTCTGCACTGTGGCCCAGAAACAGCACAGGCAGCTTTGTCTGGGGGTAGAGGATGAACACATAAAGGAGGACAGCGTTAGATATTCGCTGTAGGAAGGTGTAGGATATTTGGGCAACCTTTTTCAGAAGAGATGATGCACACCAATGCTACACTGGTAACTGTAGTTTAGATGCTAAGAGACGATTTTTTAAATTTTATTTTAAAAAGTGGTTTCTTGTCCAGAGCGGTTGGTGGTGATTTTCACATGACAACAGTTTCAGCCATCGTTGTGTTTACAAGACAAGAGGCCATAATGCGTGTCTGAGCAGCGCTACGTCTTCAGGACAGACTTGTGGCTACAGTGAGTTGCTATTAGCCCGCTAACTTCAGCAGAAGAAAAGACATGATGGGTTTGGAAAAAAATTTAGAAATGATTTGGTTTTGGGTTTAGTCATGGCAGCCTTTTGATGGTCATTCACATGCATAATCAGGGTAATAAGGCAAGCTGTGTCCACGGTAACAACAACAACAACTGTGTGACGGGGTAACAGGAACTCAGTGCTGCAGCTTACACTAACTGCAAAGGGCCGAGTTCGGACATAAAAAACAACAAAATGCCTGTCGGGTTCGGGTTAGGGCTCAGTTACTTCTCACTCCGTTGCGTTCAGAGAGAGATATGTGTTCGATCTCTTTTCAGTTCTCTGAAGGTTTTCAGTGGGATTCAGGTCAGGACTCTAAAACAGTCCATCTTTTCCTTTTCAACCAGTCTTTGTGCTGCTGGATGTGAGGGTTGGGTCGTTGTCCTGCTGAAAGACCAGAGACCTTCACATCAGACCAGTTCAGATCTTTGGACATGCAGTCTTTGGAATTGTTCTGTTTTTTAATAAAAGTATTTCTGATGTCTCTCTCTCACCACTGTGAAAAAGAAACTGGAGACAATCTGCCCCTTTTTATGCCAATAACAATAACTGTGAAAGACACAGTAATAAGAGGTTATTGAGGTAATATTTTTTATTGTACACCTCCATATGTGTGTGATAGTTGGGCTTGTTTCCAGAGGAAATCTTCTCTATAACAATACTGGTGAGTGGTAAAGTTTTAACCTGGCGCACAGAGCAAAAATACAAATCCTTTAATCTGTGCTGCATTGGTACTAATCCAACTACTTTCACAGCTGTTCAGACTCTGCTCCTCTGCTAATGAAACTACCACACACCCAAAATCACTCATGCCAGAGGCATGAGCATACACACTGTGCTCCAGGAAAACAATGTGTGTTAGAAATGACTCTGAAGTCTGCAGGACACTTCAGTTCCAAAATCCCAATGGGCACGCATGACAAACAGAGCATATCACGACAACAAGGCACAACCAACAATCGGCAGTTCCATCATGTCTGGAACACGATGAAGACAATGTGGACAAAGTATGGACGAACAAATTCCAGCCTCATGATGATGATGATGATGAAAACAGCTGTAAAACAGACAGAGTGAAGGGAAGTACAGATGTATACAATATACACAAAAAAAGTAAGTTTTTAGGAGACATGTGAGAAAGCGTCCATAAAGAAGAAGGGAGGGGGTATGATGAAGAAAAAAAAAGGGGGTGAAGGGGTGAAGGGAGGAAAAGCGTAGAGCTGAGTGGAAACACATGCTCAGCAGACTGGTGTGACGGAGAGAGAGGAGGAATGAGCTGAAACTGCTGTTCAGGATTTCTTTAAGGTGGAATGTCTCTCCTCTTCCTCCTCCCAGTCCAGCTCTCCCACCTCTAACACAGGGATGTCAACCTTCGGTCACACCGGACACAAGTTCAGCTGATATTAGTTATCTGAAAGCACACGCTGATAATTTGACCCACCCAGTGTCTTCATCCTGATACGTGCAGCGTGGCCAAGTATTGCTCAATTCAACAGAAATGTATTTAATCTGTGGCGAAAATCCCCAAGTTTCCAAAGTCACCAAACCAGACTCTGCAGCTGAACAACAGGCAGCTAGAATATCTCCATCTGATGGAGAGTAACAGACATAAAGACATAAAGACATGGTTCATGGACATCTCTGGTCAGAACTAATATTAGAGATGGAGAATATACAGTATGTGTGATAACAGCATATAATGTGTAAATGTTTTTTATGTGAATGTAAGGCTGCGTTAATTATTTTGGCATCTACGTTGCAAAAAAGCGACAATGTATGTATCTGCAAAATCAACTCAAACAAAGCCACAATCTTTTGCTCAACTTAACGAATCATATTCTCAGCTTGACCTCACCCAGTGTCTCTGTGGCCTAAACCTTTGCTTTGTCTACAGTTTCTCAGGAGGCTCATGCAGCTCAGGAACTTTCAAATCTTTAAAGGTCCCATATCCTAACATTTAATCCCCTTTTCCACTGGTCAGAAAACCTGCTAGGACCCGAGAACATCTGGCTTTTGTCAGCAGTGGAAAACGGGACGATCTGCATTCACACCCGGGTCACATGACTCTGCAGTAGACACAGGTATTTATCAGCTCCGAAAGTAAGTAACTTGATGGCTACGTTACATGCCTGTTTTCAATAGTGACCAGCTACTGTAGACATACAGTAGGCGTTAGACGTTAGCTAACTTGCTGTTACCAATATTAAGAATGAATGTATTTGTCCAGCAAATGTTGCTATTGCTAGCTGGCTAACTGTCAGCATTACTGGGGAGCATATCAGGGCAATGCTAGCGTGGGCTAATGGTTGTGTCTGGATTGTTTTTTGTTGGCTCTCGTGTTCACAGTGTAACTTTATTCAGTTTTGCTTCTTCTTGTGTGTTTAATGGCCGATTTCACTGAGTTTCACAACACCTTGATGACTGAGAACGTAAATGGAGGGAAGAGGGGGTGTGGTCAAACGGAGGCCAGAGGTGTGGCCAAGGAAGTCTTTGTTTTGGTCGTTTACAGAACAATTAATTCCAAGAAGAGTCCAGGCACGGTTCAGCATTGGTTGTCATCCAAGGTATTCCATATTTGCGAAACCTTGACCGGCATCATGAGCAATACCAGGAGCACGGCTCAGTCTGCGGCTGCGCCTCCGGGTTCATGGGAAGGGGCTTCACTTTTTTAATATTTCACCACAATCACAGGATGTAAACCTTGGTCTCTGCAGCTCAGAGTCTAAATGAGATCGTAATTTCTCCAAAATATTTATTGAAAGGTTTTGAGCAAAGATGCACAGTTTAATGAAAGTGAGTCAGGAAACTACAACTGAAGCTGAGAGTTTATGTAAGAGCAACAGAAATCCCCCTGTGATCCTTGAGGTGGACGAGCTGTGGATGAGCTGTCCTCCAGAGCTGGAGGTATTAGGTGTCCCCCCCCCAGGAGAGGTCTGGATTCTGACTGCACCACTCTACCCTATTAACACCACTGTGAACCTGGACACATGACGCACACTGTTAACTCACACGTTTAGTCTGCTGACCTCTGTGAAACGCCCGTCCAGAGATCACTCTGTAAGAGTTTTACTGGAAACAGGAATGCTAATGGGGGCAATGAGGTGGGAGGAATAAAGCTACTCTGTGGACTCCTCATTGGAAACAGACGCTATTTTGTTTACATCCAGAGTTTCCCACCAAAACGAACAACGTGTTCCCGTTAACAGACATGTTGAATGTGTTTCCTGGCTCATAAAACATTAGGATTCCCGTTGTTGTTACTGGCTTTAAAACCTGCATTGTTTACAGTAACTACTCTTCTTCTTCCTCTTTTATTGGTGCCCTGTACTCCCCCACCAACTACTCCCACGCTCTGCAGACGAACGTATGATGGCACCCTTGTGTTTTTGGTATCTTCTCAACATTGCTACAACTTTAAAGTTCTAATCTCTAACTTTTCCACATTTTTTAATGTCTAAGAACAACTAGACTTGTGTTGTTACATTATCCCAAATTTTTCCATCAATTCTCAAACCAGAGAAATCTGTGATTTTAATCACGGTAACAGTATGTGTCCTTTGGTCGCCTGTCAATCACATCATGACTTCCTGTCTGTTGGATGCTGTGGACTCACCTGTGGGTTGATTTTGATGGTGGCGATGTCTGACTTTTTGTCTATGTCTCTGATGTTGGCTTCATATACGTCACCATTATGCATCTGGACCTGAAGGAGAGAATGGAAGAGTTGTATCTTGAAGACCTTCACTCATGAAAGATATTTCATAGCAGTTTGCTTGACTGCTGCTTGTTAAAGGAATAGGTCAGTATTTTTGGTAAATACACTTCATTGTCCTGCTGAGAGATACGGTAGCTATAGAGTAAGAGGTTAGCTTAGAATAGAGACTGGACATGGGGAAACAGCTGGTCTGGTTCTGGGCAAAGTTCAGAAATACACCTATAAAGTGATGCTATACAGCAGTGGTGGGCAACTGGTGGCCCACAGCCCAAAACTATAATAACAATAATAATAATATTAATAAATAAATAATAATAATAAATAAATCACATATTCTTTTTTTTTTCAATTTTACGACATCAGACTGACAGTCCCACGTTTTGCTATATGGTCCAAATAGGAAATCCACCCCCACATAGAGAATGCTTGTTTACTTTGTCTGTGTTGAGAATGAATGAAAGAGTCAGTGCACAGTGCCCGGTGTGAAAATATATCTCCATCATGGCAAGAGGTTATCCACACAATCCCTTCTTCTTTAGCGATTCTGCCAACAAAATAAACGCGCAAGAAAGTTTTTTTGCACCAATGCTTTATCTTGTGCTAATTGAGAGCTCTTATTCTGAAAAGTTCTGACTGAAGTTCAAAAGATTCTTTTACTCACTTGACAGACCTTTGAAACTGAATTTAAAAAATAACACCAGTTCAGTTAATCATCTTATGTGTCGGACACATAACAAAGCAAATACCAGTTGCATTTCTATGAATCCATTTCTTAAATTAGCCTTTGATTATGTTCTGGCCCGAGGCCAAACTTACTTGCCACCCCTGCTACACAGTATCTGCTTGGTTTTAGAGACAGTTACCCGCTGGAAATATTTCTTGACAAACAGCAGCAGGTGCAGCGACCTGAAGCCTCTCCTGAAGTCTTGTCATCACAGTGAAGCTGCCAGGTTTGTTGCAACCCCAGACTATAGCTGCTACAGCTGCAGTTTTTTTTGTTGTTGTAATTTTTCCATTTCTGTTTTTGTCCAGATGAAACATGAGATATAACATGTTCATCAGAGTTGGAGGGTGTGTTTTTGAACTTTTTTTCTATTCCCAGTCTTAATGCTAAGCTAGGCTAACCGTGTCCTGACCTCAGCTCTGTACTGAACACACAGACATGAGACTATATCCCTCTGAACATCTCACTCTTGGGGCAAAATCCAGTGAAAGCAGGGCTGGAAAAGTTTGGTAATTTCCTGAACTTGAAATGACATCATTGAACATCTGTGTGGTATTTTGGTGACAAGTGCAGAGCGCTGATGCACAGCCGACAGGAGAGGTGCAAACAGGTGGCACCTTCAGTCAAAGCGACTTGTTGTTACTTTGGCGGAAAATGTGTGTAAGACGTCTCAGAACCTCTTCTGCTTCTGCAGCACCATTAATCTGCTGACTCGAGATCAAGCAGGACTGAAAGTTAAACAGCATCAGATCGATGTGGCCATAAAAGCTTTGGAAGGAAAGCAAACGTATATTCTATAGAATGTTGAACTCTTCCTTTGAGGATTTAGGATGAAGTGTATTTAGTCGGCATATGATTTAGATGAGAGAAACAGTGGACCTTGTACCTTGAGGTGCTGTTGACCGGACACTGGAGTGGTGCTGGAGACCACATGGGCGTTGGTAACAATCAGTCCATTGTCTGACATCACGAACCCAGATCCACTAGACAGAGGGATGTTCCGACCGAACAGAGGATGTCTGTGGTGTGAGGAACAGCATCAGTGAGTTTAGCTGAACTGGATCAGAGAGCTGATCTCATTGTGTTAGTCCTGCTGTCTCAATATCAAGAGTCATATTTCATATTTTAACCAAGTTTTCAAGAGAATATATTTCTAGTAAATAATTACATTATTAAGTTTCTGCCTGCTCTATTTGTATTAGATAGATAAGTCAGTCTCAGTACCTGAGGAAGAGCTCGATGTGGACCACAGCGGGAGCGATTTTCTCCACCACGTCAGCGATGAAGTTGAACTTGTAGCGAGGACTGGCAGCATGAGGAGGACCTATACTGGCAGGAAGAATTCTATATTTCAATAATCAGTCAACACTTAGGAATTATCAAATTACATTACTGGCATAAGACAAGCAGACAGTGTGTTACAGTAATTAAACCAGGAAGTTAATGCATGGGAATAAAAGCAGGAACGACCTCCTCAGTGTCATGAATGTGAAAGGAGGGATCTGAAGCAGGCAGGACAGTTTGGTGATGTAACTGAAGTTCTGGTCCATCAGCTCAGTCATCCACTTTTAAACATGAAATGTTTTATATTATAACAATAAGTTGTCACGTTATAACATGAACTGTTTCACATCATAACAATATAAATAGTATATTGTTATAAGAAGAGAAGCTTCTTGTTATAGCGTGATGAGTTTCTATGTCACAATGACGTGGAAACATCTTGTTTATAACAATAAACTTTTAGAACATGAAACCAACCAGTCTCCAACCCTACATGCCTATTGGACCTCGGTAGTCACGGTTACCACAGTAAACATGCGACAGTACTGAGAGCGGCGTGCCGATCACCTCCGTGGTTACTATAATAACAGTCATGGCGCTGTTAGGTTTAGGAAAAGATCATGAGTTGGGTTAAAATAAGTACTTCCTCAACATTAGACAATATTTGTTGTCGTAGTAACAATAAAAACAACGTGGTTAACCTTGTTGAACACTCATGGATAATAGACACAACATAAACAGCTGGTTTCACACGGGAATCGAACACCGCCTGGCCGAAACTCTAACCGTGGGTCACAATGAGCCGCTGCTCCGACGAACCTATAGGCTCGTTTTTTTTTTTTACTGGAGGACAGTCTCCATGATACTGATCCCCATTTTCTTTTTTGCGGCGTGGCAGCGCAACACTTCCACAGGATGGAGATTGTTTTTGTTCTGTAGCACATCACTTTAGCACCTGGTGTCCTTTTAAAATGAAGCTGTGTCAGTGTGGACGTCGCCTCAGACAAGAAGTGGACAGTATGCACCCTGCAGGACAGACAAGTCTTTTGTCTCTTTAGTCTTTTGTCTCTTTGGAGCCTCCATACTCGACAGCTTCTTATGAGAAGTGCAGGAGCTAAATTATTTTTTCTTTTTTAAAATTCCTGAAATATGTAGAGAAGACAGTCGAATGTAAAGTGAGTAAATCAGCCCCCTCGACATGAACACACGTGGCAGCTCTGATGGAAAACCCAGTTGAATCTTCCAGGCTCGTGCTGTGGCCTCCTGCACTGTTGAGCCAGTAATAATGAGTCTCAGTCGCTCTGCACAGCTGCACTGCACAGCCAAGTCAGCCTTTGAGGAAAATGTGGTTTGTTATTTTAGACCGGAGAGAGACTCTCAGATGACAGACAGTCCGACCAAAGCCCGAAGTCTTAACATCGCTGCCTAATAGACTTAACAGAGACACATTTATCTTTTCATGGCCTCAATATCTGTGAATCACCTTTAAAACGAATAAAACTTCAGGTGCAGACTCTCAGTTGGCCGCTAAAGGACGTCATCTCTTTACACTAATGTCGCATCCTCTCCTCTAAAGGTACAAACCCTATAACCAATTACTAAACCTGGATCCTGTAGCGTACTCCACTGGAATCATAATGTTCCTCTTAGTCTGTAGGAGAAATTAGCCAAAACATTTATATAAGCCAGTGAGGTTTACCCAGGAGGATTTACCCAGTGTACACCTGGGTAAACGTTCTGCAGTCATCTCTACCTCATGAAGGTTACAGAGTTCACTTATTGTTGATTTAACGTTATGATCATTTTGGAGGCAGAAGTTCGTGATGCTGTTGAATTATGCGGCGTATTATTGTTTCTATTATTTTGTCCACTTCACCCACACAGAAAAGTGATGCTGCCATATATGTCACTTATAAGAGGACATATTATTATCACATATATACATCCCCTGGATATATGAAGATATACTGTATGTTTATAACATATATGAAATACCCATACTAAAATTTGTATATGTACATATATTAAAAATATCTATATGATGAATTCTTACATAGAACACATATGCTCGCAACATGTGCTCTATGTAAAAATGATGTGTTAACATGTGTTAAGATATATTTATTCATGCATGTTTATTAAAACAACATACATATAAAAAAAATCTAAATGTTTATATATGATTTTCTTTATTCATCTCTCATTCATTTTAAACGTGCATCTTCTCATTCGGGGAAAGTGCTCTCAGACTTTTGGACCCTGCTGTTGCAGATATCAGATGTTGGATGGCCTGAAAAAACTGAGATTCTTTTAGAAGGTCGTAAGGCTTTGCGGTGTGAGATTCAATCTCTGTTTCCTCCTCTATCTGTAAAGCCATGTGAGCATGTCAGAAGATTGGGTGTGGTTTTGGATGCTGATCTCAACTTCCAAAAGCACATCTCTAATATTTCTAAGACTGCCTTTTATCATCTTAGAATTAAAGCAATGGTTAGAAGTTTTTTTTTGTCTCAGTCAGACTCTGAAAAGCTGGTCTGTGCTTTTATTTCTAGTAGATTGGATTACTGTAACGCACTTTTTGCTGGGCTGCCGAAGCAGATGTTAAATAAACTCCATCTTATTCAGAATGCAGCAGCCAGAATTTTAACAAAAGCCAAAAGGTCTGAGCACATTACTCCTATTTTATCATCTCTTCACTGGCTCCCAGTAAAACAAAGAATTGATCTTTAAATACTTCTCATTGTTTTTAAATGTTTTAATGGTTTAGCTCCTTACGATGTTTGTGACATGCTCACATCAAAGAGATCCCTTACATCATCATATAAAGGTCTCCTCACTATACCAAGAATCAACTCTTAATCAGTTCCTGGTGCTTTCACTCATTATGTCCTACTCTCTGCTACAACAGTGTCTTCTTTTAAAAGTAAATTAAAAACATATCTCTTTTGACAAGCTTTTAGTTAGGTTAAAGAGTGTGTTGTGAGTCAGAATCATTATTATTATCTCCCTTTTAGAATAATGATGATAATAATAATACCTTCCTCTTCTGTATGTTTTTTGTTCTATCTTTTATTTATGTAATATTTTCTTATCTTTTATGCTATTTTATATTTTGTCATGTATGATGTATCCCTGCTTTTATTTTGAAGCACACTGAGTTTACGCCTGCCGTATGAAATGTGCTATATAAATAAAACTGACTTGACGTGACAATAATATCAATAATATCACTGACAGACTTTGGGATGCATAAGTGTAACATATGTCTACAATATACATAAATGTATGCAGTATATTTGTATTGCCTAGACATACAGTATATGTCAATATATGAAATTGTTGCAATTTCTAATAGGTTTCATAAATGTTACATTTATGTACATATAAAATAAAACTAAAATAAAAGTTATATTTCATATATTGAAATTCAATATATGTACATATATTACATTTGCATATGGGCCTTTGTAGAGGTTAAATAACAAGAAGACCTCTCTGTATACTGCAGTACAGCTCCTGACTAGCAGCTGTGTGGAGTGTGTGGAGCTTGTGTGTCATAGAGGAGATAGTGGACGTCAGAACAAATGCTACTTTTAGCTTAATGCAACATTTCAAAATCTCTGCAGTGAGTACAGTGTTGTCATGATGACCAGAGCTACAAAAATCAGTCGGCAAAATAATTCATATAATGCTTTAATGTAGGTTTGAATGAAATAATACAAATGGAAAATGTACCCAGACACAGTTATTGGAAGCCTTCACTCATATTCGGTTGCTTTGGTTGTTGTTGCCTTTAAAAGCTTCTCACACCTGTCAGCAGGTAGTGAACACTTCCTGTGTTCAAGCTCTTCTCAGTTTGCAGGAGTCCTCTCAGTTCTCTGAAGGTTTTCAGTGGGATTCAGGTCAGGACTCTAAAACAGTCCATCTTTTCCTTTTCAATCGGTCTTTGTGCTGCAGGATGTGAGGGTTGAGACGTTGAAAGACCAGAGACCTTCACATCAGACCAGACCTGTTCAGATGTTCTGATGCTCTCAGACAGTATATGTCTCTCTCTCTCTCTCTCTCTCTCTCTCTCTCTCTCTCTCTCTGTGAATCAGCCCTCTTTTATGCAGTAAAACCACATCATTACTCATTGGTCAATTCAGGTCATGTGAAATCTGACAATTAAGCTCAGGTGAGTCTTTGCTTTTAAATTTCTTTTAGAGGAATAGAAATTAATCAAAAGGCACCAATAACTGTGTCTGGACATTTAGTGTTTGAATCATTTCTCTATTATACAAGTTTTTTTTTTTTTCTTGTTCATTTCTTTTCTTCATCTGTTGTCCAAGTGTCAGAGACGACATCATGAGACACACAAAGACACAAATTGACAGTTAGATCCACTGTGAAGATTTGAGACTAAACCTGTGTGTCCTTCAGAGGCAGACACACACACACACACACACACACACACACACACACACACACATTCACGCACACACACACACTCTGTTGTGCACTTCTGTCTCTTAAAGCCTCGTGTTTGACCTGGTGGCGGCACAAACTGAAAAATAGGTCAAGAGGTCAAACCCTCTCTGGAGTCATCCTCAGGAGACCATAAATCTCCAGAGTGAACTAGATGCCAGTCTGACTGTTGAGATATGATCAACAGACTGATGGATGAAACAGATTCCTGCTCTGCTGACTGCTACAATCATCAGCACATATCACACACACACACACACACACACACACATACAAACACCCAAATGAGAGATATCAGTTGAGGAAACAGGAAGTCCCTGTAGTCCAGACTCTATTTACGTTTCCCTTTGATCACAAACCCCTTTATTTTGGCTGGCACACACACACACACACACTCACTGTCACTGAGGCATTACATCCCTGTGGGTGTGGTAAACTAAAAATATATATGGGTGATTAACCCGCAGCTCAGAGGACCAACATCAGTTGTGGTAAATCATTCATCTTCCCCCTGTAGATCTTCAGCGGGGAGTCTGAAGAAAACAGCTCATAAACTTTATTTAAAGACTTTTTCTTTTC